ATATCAACTCCATACAAAACCTAGAAAATATATATACACAGTGTATGCGGTGAAACTCATCCGCCCTCATCCTGCACCTCCGATTAGTGCGGTTGGCTACGTATAGTGCGATGGAGGTTCAACGTAATACAGAGCCCATGCTTTTCCTATTACCTGTGCCTCTGAATCGATCTGTAGAACCTCTTATTAATAATCAGCTCATTGATTCAACACAGAGCAGATGCGGATGGATAAAGAGCAAGAGTTCACAGTGCGACCACCATCGCCAGTCACAGTAACGCCACTGCCCGCTTGAATCATTCACTGGAAGTGTTTCAGATGTTCACCATGAGGCTACTCCTGAAAGCTGTCCACTGACTCACCTACCAACCACGACATGAAGATATACACGTTTCTGATTAACTAACCCCTGGATGAAGGTTCCCCATATCCTGTTGGCCATGCATGTAGTTCGACCATATTTGACTTCACTGGTCAGTGCAGGTTGGTGAAGGGGGTGGGTCATTCAATTATCCCTCGCCACCGTTAGCCAGGCCAGGGAATGGAACTCAGATCTCTGGGTTCATAGTGCAGTGCGAAAACCATTGTTACAGTGCGTAAGCCCAATATGTGTACGGTGCATGCAGAATGTGAACGCGTACGTACGTGTACCAGAAGAATGCGTGCTCTGGTTTATTCACCACACGACCATATGGGCACCCATGGTTTACTTCAAGGCCATGGTGCAGATCTGTGGCGAATGCCATGTAACCTTTGTACGTGCGTATGTTGAACTTATTTCGCACCGCATTTAGCCAACCATGCTAATCGGAGGTGCGGGGGAAGGACACAAAAACGAAATGCAAAAAGCAAAAATCTTTGTCTGGTCAACCCCTAGGTTAGCTCAGACAAAAATAAGCAGCTAGTTTGGTGACCAGCGTGTTAACATCGCAATTGAAGAGACAAAATGCAGCCAGGCTTTGCGCTGCTCATGCAGTCCTCTCAGAAGCTGCGGTGGCCTTAATAGGTGCTCACTAACAGAGCTGTCCATGGTAGTATGACTACGTGTTGGGGCTTTGCATTCTACCCGTACGTCTATCAAACGAACGAGGTGAAAACCTTTAGATATTACCTCCTTTGCACATTTGACCACATCATCTATATCCACATGGAAGCAGTTGCATTATTATACAATGCAACCATTCTAAGCGTAGATTGCCCCACCTATAGCACCAGCACAAAATGAACTACCCACGGTGCCTGATGGCACAGAGAATGCAGTGTTCAGTTTACAGCAGATGGCCACACATTGGTAATTCCCTGCACAAGGTGCAGGGCAGCTGCAGGGGTTTGACCATCAACTTTGTGCAGACTGGCTTAGTGGTGAGTGCACTTACGTGGAACATCCATCCACTCACACCAACAGACAAAACAACAGACAGACAAATATCCCCGTACAGACATAGACCGTTGGGGCAAGTGCTGTTAGTGAGCACCACGCTTATCCGTCTTTGTCTTCCCAACGCTGAAGGTTGTCACACTGCACTAGGAACTCATTCGAGGCTAAGTTGACCTTGGGAAGGGCCAACACATAACTGATGTTTAACACGTAGACTTTCGCGACCAATATCATCCATAATATAGTTTTTTTTTTTTAGATGGCGTAAATATAAATGTGTCGTTAAACCCGCTACCACACGATTTTGCCAATAAGTAAGGTTTGTCACATAAACAGAATATGCCAATGACAGCTGCCCGCCTGATGAAGCTAGTTGTAATTACTGGCGAAACGTCGTACTCAGATTGTAATTGTTGTGGATTTGCTCTCCAACACACCGGTGTGCTGGACTAGTGACGAATTGGCCACGTTCTGTTCACGTGACAAACCTTACTAGTTGACTTTGTCGGGTGGTGGTGGGTTTAACGACACATTTATATATTTACGTCATCTAACACAAACAAAACCTCTTATGGATGTAACTGATGTTAGCCATGGCCGGGAATCAAAACGCAAGCAGAGTTTCATTTAGCACGAAGCCCCATGCTGAACGATTCAATGCCACAACTTTAGTTTCAAAAAGTCTATGAAAACTTTAGCTTAAGGTTGTAAATATACATGCGACAATTCAAGAAGGGAGATGGGTCGTTGTTACATCGGTGGCTCTGGTATAAAACTGTACGAGCAGAATCGTCGGACTCATGCAGGTCGGTGTAGTGCAGAGATGCCATATTGTCGTAATCCATCACACCCAATCTCTAACAAACGCATTAGAGAGCACTGGCACATCATCTATCTCTTTATTTAAGTGCTGTTGATTTACCCCCCCCGCCACCCACCCCTTCAAATGTAAAATTTTATAGTTTGATCACTGCTGACCTGAGCGGGTGTCTTTTGTTGTTCAAAGAAACTGTCTTAAACGGTACAGCTTTTTTCATTGGTGGTGTAAAAATGCTTTTAGCGACGCATTAAATGTTGGACAGTGTGAAATCATGTTTGGTAGTAATTAGGATGGTTTCAGGCACTTTCAAAGAAACATCTACTTACAATGTTCTTTCAAGGATGTTGGCAGTACTCATCACCGCTCATGTGTGGACATTCCACATTCCTCTGATGGGGCCCAGTCTCCCCCATGGCAGGTGATGTTGATTTTACCCGTCCCGAAGTAATGATGATGGTGATGGGATGTGTCAACCCTCACTGGGATTTGAACTCTATAACTTCTGACTGTGAGCCATTCCCTCCTGCTAAGACACACCGGCCGGTCAACATTAATATTGGTCAACTTGAAGTCACTGCACTTGGCAACTTGATCTGCTGAAACCCATCCTCTGAGTGGCAGGTGACCGTGACCTCATCCTCCTTGTGGGGTGCCTGATGTTTGTGTATTTTAAGGCATGATACTCGATACCGCTTGAAAGTTAGGATTTTTGTTTAAAAACGAAGGCCCACAGGAGTCCATCTTCTTAATGTCTAACCACGCTGAAAACAAAACAAAAAACTTCACGAAACTTTGAAAACAAAAAAAAAGAAGAGAGACGTGAAGCGTTTTTTTCTCTCTACTCAAGGCGATAAACTGTTGTCAATTGACCGTAACGCCTCGCAATGAAAGCGCAAGGGACATTCAATTTTCACTTGTTTAACCTTTTTTGTAATTAAATTTTCGCGTTATTTTTTGCTGAAGGCAAATGGTCATTTTGAAAGGATATGCGGTGGGACACTCAACGTGTCCTATCAGATTTGCTAATGTATTCATTACTACAGTTTTATTATGAGATATATAATGCAATGTCATATGTATATAGCAATGGCGTCATGCAGTTTACAATCTATCGCTTTAAAACAATGGGCAAATGTGAAGTAGCAGCACAGAGTATTGATATAAATTTAAAGAAATAAAACCTTTCCCCTAAGTGCTTTCTTCCTAATTTTGACAATTTATGTCAACAGATTGAAATCGATGACTCCACAGACACAATATGGTGAAGGTAATTTTCGTTACATTTGGTGGGAGTTCGTATCAATTGCGGCACTCATTCCATTGTTTTTACTTTATTTCATTTCCTTTTCAGGTTCTTTTGCAGCCTGATGGATGCGTCCAATATTTGTGATGTTGATATTAACGTGCATAACATGTTTTGCTTTATGTTTATCGATAACGATAATGGTGACTATTGACGCAAACAAATGATTCCTGAGGATCATGGCGATGTGTGATGGTGAGTGTCGAGAAAAGTGAACGATTGAGATGATAATTCGTGATTCAGTTTAAGATCATGCCAATATGCGAAGGATTCGGTGCTGCAGTAACCCCCCCCCCCCCCCATTCACAGTGATTCAAGTAGCACAGTTGGCGGATTGGCAGCAAACCGTGGACGTAACTCGTAATAACTCCAGTTACCCATTGATAAATGTGGATGATAACATAAATTTGCGACCACTTCCAGCTACCTCCACTTGCCCATGAAGATATGCAAATAAAATAAAACAGCTTTTCAACTAATACTATTTAAACTATTTTTATTTTACTAGATAGGGCCCACTAAGTTATATCGCTCTTTTTCAGAGGCGACCTGGCCACAAATCATCGCTCAATTAAGTGGCTTATCACGTGGAAATGTATAGCAGCCAAATACTCTAAACGTGTGTTTCTAAATGTGGAGGGAAAATCCGGAGGACCCGGAGAAAAATTCACACGACCACTGGGAGAACATGCAAACTCCAAATATACAGGCATCAAGGTTGGGATCGAACCCATGATCTCCTGTAAATCAGCTGACCTAGGTAACATTTCGCCACCATGGCAACTCATCCTCGGATAATAGGATGGCTTTAGGCCTGATTGGAGACTAGTACATTGAGGGGCTAATCCATTGTTAAACTTGGATAACAGGATTCATTATCTCTTGTTTTGAGCTGCACCGGGTGCTGTTCACCACGTTGCAGAACGACACGCGGTACATTCCCATATGCAGCGCAACCTCCACAACCAAGGTGGTATCATTACATTTTCCACCTCTCCCAGGTGACAATCGGAGTAGCGGGGAGGTGGTGTCGTGGTTTTGCCGTAATTTGTTGTAACCACAATATTCAGTGATACAGGCAATGTGAATAACGTGGCAGTTTGCCCGAATTTCCACGTGCCCATGCACGTGTGGCATCTGTGGTGGCATCCATTGACAATACGAACAGCGGATATGTGAGGCCTGCAAATACAGGGTGGTGGCGGGGGGGGGGAGGTTGGAATCTCACTGCGATCGGCAGTGGCAACATATCGACGCGGAAAGCGACGGAAATAATTTTTCGATTTAAAGCTTTCGTGACTGCAGGGATTCATCTTCTTGGTTCTTTCGGTAAAGTCACGTAAAATGGAAATAATAAAATAATAAAAATATAACAAATAATAAAATAATTCTCACGACGTTTCGGCCACAACGCAAGCAGCCGTCCTCAGGTGGAGAAACAGGTCTGCCGACGTGGCAATCGTGACAGAATCGCCGTGTGCCCCCGTCCCGTTCGACAGCTGCTGGCGTCTCTGAACGGCACGGCGTGTCGTCGCTTCCTGGACGAGCTGGAATGCGCACGCTGCTCCCCCGACGCTCGCCGCCTCCTGCTGCAGCTGCAACCGCAGCAGGAGGTGCAGTCCGCGGGGCGGTCGAGAGCTACGGGACGTAGTGGCTCCTCCCGTGCCGCCACTGCCACCACCGCCACCACCATGCCCCTGCTCTGCCCGGACTACTGCGCCGAGTTCTACGGCGCCTGCAAGCCTCACCTGGCCGGTACGGCAGCCGCAGGGAGTCGGTGCTTGGCAATGGTCCCGGTACACGTGGATGTACTTAGATATATACATTGTATATATATATACACTACAGCGTTGCATATATACCAAGGTCATAGGTGGAGTTTGACTTCTATATTTGGGGAGTGGGAGCAGGGGTTCGATTTGTCCCTCACATTAAGAATTGTGGGTGCATCTAATAAATGTATTGATTTGTAATTTTACTTGTAAACTACTGACAATACATTTATGAAGGTGTCCAGTTTGGGGGGCCCTGCCCCCTCGCCCGTGCCCCCCCCCCCCCCCCCTGCAAACTCCTCCCATGACTCAGGTTTTACATCTATATATTCTACGTAATGTAATTGTGCCAATGGATCAGCGTTCACGCCGCGCCACTTGTCAATGCCCGGTTCTCGCCGGGAAAACAAATGGCCCTCCCGGCAAACACACTCCTGCAAACTTATTTTTGAGAGTGCAGTCAATTTTGTTGATTTCTGTTTATTGTCAATTGTTAAATGGCCATATTATAATTCACGGCGCTCCGTCTACCCGCTGTTGTGTGAAAGCAATCCCACACCCCGTCAGTTGTGGGAGTTGTGCGTGACCATACTTCACCCACGCTTTGGATAGTGCGGGTTGGGGGTTGGCGTGTGGGGCCGCAGGGCCAATTCGGATGTCGCTCACCGTTGACGAAACTCAGGTCGATGGGTTCATGGCACAGTTGCGAAAGCCACCGCTTGACCACTCCACGTGCAGACGTGAGGTACACGATGACAGACGTTATGATACACCATTACTGTGTACGTCAACTGCCGCATTGCTCTGTGACACAGATCTCCCTTGAATAAAGAGACATTTGGTCTCGGTGGGCTCTCACCTGGTTTTAAATCAACAGCGCATTATGTATGAAAGCGAGATGTGATCGCATCTCTAGATCCTTTACAAATATTGGTGAACACGTGCGAGGCCGTTTGACCATACTTCACCATGTTGGTTAGTGTGGGTTGGGCGAATGAGGGCCCCCGGCACCGGTTCGGATATCACTTCCACGTTTTACAAACAGGGGTAAACGATGCGCGTCTGGATCGTTTGAAAAAGAGAGAGGTTATTATATTCTTTTTTTATTTTATTTTTATTTTACTTTCATTAATTTTAATTTTGTACCTACGTGACTTTACCGAAAAAACCTAAGAATATGAATCCTTGCAGTCACGAAAGCTTCAAATCTTGAATTCAAATCTAGAGAGGTTATTCTTGGTTCTTTCGGTTAAGTCACGTAGAAGGGAAATAATAAAATAATAAAAATATAATGAAGCAAGAATATGAATACCTGCAGTCACGAAAGCTTTAAATCAAAATTTAAAAGAGAGAGGGGTTTCTTTTTAGAGCACGTGATGAGGGGAATATCATACTCTTTGGTTCTTTTGGTAAAGTTACGTAGGTACACAAGCAACCGTCTTCAGGTGGGAGGGAGAATATCACGTGACTGGCCACAGATTTAACGAGATAAAGGGATGACCTGATATCAAATATGTGATATTTGCTTTGCTTTCTGAAAGAAAAAATATATAGAAATGGTATCTGCATGATAAATTAGCTCTCAAAAGTTTACGTCGTTTTTAATGTCTGTCACCCTTCTTGGATTTAGGTGAATCATCAGCTCACTTGTTGGCGGTTTATTTTCGATTCCAGCCCAGCAAAAAAAACGAAAGGCACGTGGCGCTTTTTGCAACGCAGGCGTCAAAAACCTGAACTTAGCAGCACCAAGTGTGGCGCTTTTCAAGGGCCCTCTCCGTAATGCTGACACGTTATGTCAGCGAACTTGAACGGCTGGCCTCGCAGATGCATTACTCACATCGGGGCGGAATACTTTTTCAGTTGGTGATCAGTAGAGCACGGTGAAGCAAACACAAAATGATTGCTTGTGAGGGTTATTAGGTAATTTAACGCACATTTTGTTCACTATTATTGACAACAAATTTACTCCAAACTTTACTTCATGCATCCAAACATAGCATTTTTATTGTCCCGTGTTTTTTTTGTTTCCCAACCTGTAGAGTGAATTGATCACCTCAAAGACGAAATGAAATACCTATTTAAATTATTAAAATGATGTAACATTTGTAACCTATTGTCAATCCACTGCTGGATGAAGGCCTCATCACATGTTAAGTCATGAGGATTGTGTTGTCATACTTCACCATGCTGGTCAGAATAGGTTGATCATGGGGGGGATGCAGGAATGGTTCAGATATAATTCAACACTGATGATAGCCATGGCCAAAAATACAATTAATTTGCTGCACACTGACGATTACTCCACCACTCTGACATTAATACATTACAAAACGCAATTTTTGATGTGTCATGATTTTCTCAGTTAATTATGTACGTAAATTAAGTTCATGATGTTGGTGCCTTACATAGCATTCGAGGTGAATAAGTCTAGTTTAATTCACAAAGAGGGTAAACGAAAATCATACAATACTGCTTAAATGCGGATAATTATATTAACCAATAATTCTGCCAAATCACCCATCTTTTCCGATCTCAGTTGCTAATTGGGGTAGAGCCTGGTAGGTAGTTGGATGGGAGACTGTCTGGGAATACCAGCTTTTTGTTAGGGTTGCACTCTGAAAGGTGGCAATAGGAGATGGCAGTATAACCATGGATTCTTGAATCCATCTGCGTTGAGCCTTTATGCTCTCAAATGCGTGGCATTTTTCTGGGTTCTCTGGATTCCTTCGACGCGCCACTCGTTCATAGAGTGGAAAGGTCATTCTCATAAAAAAAAAACTTTACAAGTGCAACATTCATATAATAATTTCTTTATTATGACATGCTTGAATGCACTTCTCATGGATTTAATTTCCTGTATTGAATTGTTACATATTAAGGATTATTTGTGTTTAAATAGCATACTAATATAATTAATGTGCAACTTGGATTTGCACTGTGTAGTTTATTTATTCTTACATTGTGTTTAAATATGCAGAAAAATGTTTCATCATGCGGTGGGGTGGTATTCAAGGCAGCAACTTAATTTCTCCTATTTGAGTTTAATGTACATTCTCAAGTAAGCAGGCTGGAGCAGTGGGTAGCACACTGCACTGTGAGCCCAAGTGACCTGGGTTCAATCCACCAATGAGCACGGTTGGCTACGTACGGTGCGAAAGAAGTTCAACAAACATACAAACTTCTAGATTTGAAGCTTTCGTGACTGCAAGGATTCATACTCTTAGGTTTTTTTCGGTAAAGTCACGTAGGTATATTCCTGGCCACGGCTAACATCAGTGGCAAGTGACTTCTAAATTGGTAGCAGCTTCCCCTCCAAATCAAGCAACTCACATTGACCAGAATGGCGAAGTATGGTTAAACAACCCACATGGGAGGTTTCCATACAGAAGTGGATCAACAAAGGGATGTAATAATTGCATTTGCTTATTCGTCAGAGATATCCCTGCTTATTTCATAGCTGACCTTCACTGAAGGTCATTCCACGATCTTCCGTGTGTGGACTCACTGGGCAGCAGTACGGCTCTTCCCCCAGAAATTGTATTTCCTCCCGTATAAATATAGATTCTGTATTCACGGTCACTTTCAAAATACAAAGAACGCCGGTATGCGATATGGAAATACCGGTCTCTGAAATATGATGTTTGTCACTGATAGATGAGCTTCATTGTAAATTGGCCAGAATTGGAGTTTCCATAATCTGGGTAACCTGAATTATAGTTACATTTCTTTAATACAAATAGCATTTTAAATATTCAAGAGTGACACAATCGCTTTTGCTTTTATCACAAAGCCTTTGTTCATTCAAAAACATTTATTTGAGCAGAAACAAATTGTGGTGATATTAAAAAAAACGTATAATCTATAAAAAGTTGTTTTTTTTATCAAATACTAGCTTTACTACCCGGCTTCGCCCAGGACTTGGATTCACCATGCCCGGCCACCTTTGTCTCCCCAGTGGCGCTGTTCACACACCACACCAGTTACTCGTTTGAGGCTGAGTCGACCTAGGGGAGGCCCAGGACCATTTCAAATAATCGTCACCGGTGGTGGCCGTGAGCGGGAATCGAACTCGGGTCGCCGGGTTCGTAGCGCGGCGCGCTAACCACTACACCACCGCTCCCCCCCCACACACGCACGTCCATAGGCACACATACACGCGCTTGCTGCAGACACACACAACTTTGAGGGTGCGTACGGCAGTAAACGACTGAAATAATAAAGCAGCAATGCTGCGTGAAGAACGCCTTAGACCTGCAACACTTTTGTATGGCACTTTACTCGCGGAGGGTTTGGGGTGGGATGCGTGACATGCGCAGGCACACTGCGTGACGCTTCCGCACACGAGTCACATGTGACGTCACAGCTCACTTGCCGTTCAAAATCAATGCATTATTGCGCCCCCCAGAAAACATATACAAAAGTCTATTTTTTTTATTTTTGCAAAGTGTACAGTCTGGAAAGTACCCACATGGCAAGTTTCAAGTATGTTGCATGTCGGGAAGTACGCTAAACATTTTGAACAGACACACATACAGTATTCACAAATTTCTCTTTTATATATATGAATGGCACTATCAAGGTTATGTTTTGCAGCCACAAGGTGATATTTTGAAAACAGTTTCTGACATTTCCACAACCATTTAAAGAAGTTGCACTTACATTCTCTGAGGCATGGCGAATACAGATTTGACTTTTTTTTATGTCGATAACGCATACAGAACATTGAGCAACATTGCGCAGACAAATACCATTGTCATTCACTTTACGATCCAATGCGAATGAAAACAAACCAACTTCCCCCCATTTATTTCCCCCTGATAACCCATTTCCTACTCGAGTGTACAATTACAGCATAATGTGTATTCACACCGTGACTAAGTATGACGGCATCTCTAGGCGCTGGACAAAAACTTCTGAGATGGAATATTCATTTTACGGAGAGATATGGGCAGACAGTAATTGCCGAAGGAAAATGGAAGGTTT